GTTGTAGTAGTAGTAGTAGTAGTAGTAGTAGTAGTAGTAGTAGTAGTAGTAGTAGTAGTAGTAGTAGTAGTAGTAGTAGTAGTAGTAGTAGTAGTAGTAGTAGTAGTAGTAGTAGTAGTAGTAGTAGTAGTAGTAGTAGTAGTAGTAGTAGTAGTAGTAGTAGTAGTAGTAGTAGTAGTAGTAGTAGTAGTAGTAGTAGTAGTAGTAGTAGTAGCAGCAGCAGTAGTAGTAGTAGTAGTAGTAGTAGTAATAGTAGTCGCAGTAGCAGAAGTAATAGTAGTAGTAGTAGTAGTAGTAGTAGTAGTCGTAGTAGTCGTAGTAGTCGTAGTAGTCGTAGTAGTCGTAGTAGTAGTAGTAGTAGTAGTAGTAGTAGTAGTAGTAGTAGTAGTAGTAGTTGCTGTTGTGGCAAATAATAATAATAAGATTATTAATACTATTTTGTAACACCTGATACTTAGAACAATACTGCCACTACTAATGATTTTATCGAATAATGATACTAATCATAATCATACTCATACTTATAAGACTAATACTACTAGCCACTCTTACTAATACGACTAAGACGAATACGTAGGACTAGTTATAATACTAAGAATGAGGCGAATACGAATAATACTGATAAGGCTAACACGAGTAATACGGGTAATGCTAAGGAATATTAAGAAGAGGAGGAGGAGAAGGAGGAGGAGGAAGAGGAGGAGGAGGAGGAGGAGGAGGGAGAGGGACGACATGGGAGGAAAAGGGTGGAAGAGGGAGGAGGGATGAGGGAGGAGGGAGGAGGAGAAGGGAGGAGGAGGAGGGAGGAGGGAGGAGGAGGAGGAGGACGGAGGAGGAGGAGGAGGAGGGGGAGGGAGAGGGGGAGGGAGAGGAGGGGGAGGGGGAGGAGGAGGTTGTTGAGGAAGGAGGAGGGGGAAAAGGAGGAGGAAGGAGGTTGTCCCCAGGATGGTATGGTATGGGCGATGCCCTCCCTCACCTTCCCCTCCCTGCGTTTTTTTCTCCCTCCCCTCCCCCGCGTCGCTCTGCCTCCACTCTGCCTCCGCCTCCTATTCCTCCTCCTCCTCTTCCTCCTCCTCGTCTTCCTCCTCCTCCTCCTTCTTCTCTTCCTCCTTCTCCTCCTCCTCCTCCTCCTAAGCTGGGGGGCGCTTTCGGCACGCGTGCTGGCGGCGAGTCCGACGATTCGAAGATCCTAGACGTACTCAAGAGATTACGTGCCGCCCAGGTGGCCGTCGTAGTGATCAGCGAGCCACGCCTGGCCCCAGGAATGGTGTGGCCTACAGAGGATTACGATTTCTTTGGAGAGCGGTGCGCGTCCCCGGCGTTTGTGGCAGCTTTCATCCTGATGTCCTTCCAGGCGGTCGTGACGACCGTCCCGCAGGTGGGCGATGAGCGGACCATTTGGGTTCATTTCCCGCGCTGTGGTGCCCCTGGGGCGGACGGTGGCTGTCTCATGATGGGGGTGTACGCCCCGCCGCCGCGACATGGTATGGTGGTGCGCCGCCAGTTTGGGGAGGTTCGCCGGGACGAGTGGCGTGCCATCCGCGCGCTCCCACAATATCAGGGCTAGCGCGTGGTCATTGCTGGTCACGCCAACGTCGATTTCGCAGAGATCTGCGACGGGAGCGCGCATTTCGAGGGCCCCCTAGATCGGCAGCTGAGGGCCTGGTTCGTGGACCTGGCGTCCCTGGGCGTGGCCTTCTGTAGCACTCTGCGCACGCCCACGCAACGCGCGGGCACCGCCAACGACATCATCGCTGTATCCCCCGACGTCATGGTCCGGGCAGAGACCCTCCAACCTGGGCGGCCAGGCGCACCCGCGGACCATGCGCGGTTGTTGGCGCGGCTGCCGGGGGCCGTGCGGGGCGCGGCGACGGCCCCCGTGGCTCGCGGTCGCCGGAGGCTCATTCGAATGGCGCGGACTTGACGCCGGCCTTGGCGGTGGTCCCGCTCTCGTTGGGCTTCGTCGCCAGATGGGCGGGGGCCGCAGCACGCTGCCCGCAGTTGCGCGCCTGGCTAGCGCAGGGCTCGAGGCGGACCGTGAGGCAGAGGATCGTCGACCATGCCGCGCGCGCGGGCGCGGGCCGCCCCGCCGGGCGCGGGGCGGCCGGCGGCGGTCTCCGCAGCCAACGGGAGACGAGGTCGCGGCCTTAGACGAGGTCACCAAGGAGGAGACCGGCGAGTTTCCTACGACACGCGCGCGGTATTTGAGCATGTGAGAGCGGCGGCGTCATCAGCGGCGAAGGGCGAGGCCTCCTTGAGCCTCGCCCTGCCCCCGCGCGAGCCCCTCGTCGCGATGGCCCTGCGGCGCCCCGAGACGGACGAGCCGCTGGGGCTGGGGGCGACGTTGGGCGCCGTCGTCGATAACGTCCTCCCGCGCTCCGCGGCGGTCGGCCCGGCCGACCCGGCGGCGCGGCGGGGGCCGACGCGACTGGTGCCATCCGCATGGCGGCGCAGGTGGAGGCGGGCAGTGACGCGTCTGACGCCTTCACCCTGGTGCTCATCGAGGAGGCCATCAGCGGGGCGCGGGTGAACCGCCAGTCGCTGCACCTCCCGCGCACGGCCGCGCGGGCGGGCCCCGCGGGGGGCCACTGGGCCACGCGGGCACTCCTCAATGTAGTCAATGACTCGGGCGCGGGCGTGGGCGCTTCCCTCCGGGGGGCGCGAAGTCTCGCCGCGTCGCGAGCGGGGCCCCCAGCGGTGACCGGCCTTTCGGACGTCCGCCCAGTCACGCACGCGGGCGAGCTGGAGTGCCTCTTCGACGCGCGCTGGCTCGCAGTGGTCCGCGACCCACTGGGGCGTTATACCGGGCAATGGAAGGCGGGCGGCCGCTTCCGCTTCGACGCGGTCCCAATGGCGGCGGGGGCCCTCATGGCGCCACATGGGCGCCGCGCCGGCAGCCTGGGGGCGCTCGCTGCGCAGGCCGACCTCCGGCGCGGCTGCGTGGCTTCGACTGGGCGGGGAGGCAAGCGGCGCGCATCCAGTTGCGCGCTGCAGGGCTGCTGGGCCGCTGGTGGCTCGCTGCTGGCGCATCGCTGCGTGACGATGTGGGGCCGCTTAGGACCGCTGGTGGCGCCTGCGGTCGCCCTGCTCGAGTTCGGGGTCGGTCAGGGGAGACGCGCCGGCGTGCGTGCGCCTGTTGGGCGCCTTGCTCCGCGGTCTGTCGGAGTGCTGCGGCTCCGCGGCGGCCCCTGATCCGCTGGGCGCCCCCGCCCCCCTGGGGGCCGCGTTTGTTTTCCCGGCGTTGCCGCGCGCGGGCGATTCTTCGCGCGCCCTGCAGGCGACGGAGCAGGGCGTCGCGGACGTCTGCGGGGGCCTGACCCAGCACTGCGCGCAGCGCAGGCGCGCGTTCCAGGGGGGGCCTTCCTAGGGGCCCGCCGCGGTGGCCGTTGGCTCGCCGCCGCCAGCGGTGGAGCAGCGCGGCCGCGTCGGTTCGTTGCAGCTGCGCGCGGTGCTGTCCTGGACGTGCCCGGGGGCGCCCCTGGATTAGGAGTTGCTCTTGGGGCAGCTCCTGGACCGCGCGCGCGCTCGCCTTCGGCAGGGGCGCGCGCCGGCCAGCGTCGGCGCGGGCGGACCGCGGGTTCGGCCTGCCGATGCGGGTCCCCCAGCGCTGGCGCCCCGCGTGGGAGCGTTGGCGCTTTGCCAGGCGGAGCTGCTCGCGTCGCTCGCGCAGGGGTGGGCCGCGGTCGCGGCCCGCTGCAACGCCGCGTGAAATGACGTGGCCAAGCTTTTCCTGGCTGGGCCAGCTGCCCAGGTTTCCTTGTGCCCCGGCGGCCACGTCCGGGCCTCCTTCGAGCCGCGGCTCCTGATGCGAGAGGGCGCGAAGCTGGCGCGCCGAGTCACCCCGCTGGCGCGCGTGGGCCTGCTGGGCGATCTCCCCGGCAGGGCCGGTGCGAGCCGCCGCAGCGGCGGCGGCCTGCGGGGCGACGCGGTGGGGGGCGGCGGTGGCGGTCGCCAGGGACGTCGGCATCGCGGCATGGCCCTCGGCCCAGCCGAACGCCTCGCCCGCGGCGCGGGCGCGGGTTGCGCGGGCCTGGGCTCGCGCAGTCGCGGACCCATTGTCGGAGCGGCGGGGCGCGACGTGGTTGGGTGAACAGGTTGCCAAGCTCACCGACGACCGCGTGGTTTCGCCGGGCGACCTGCTGCCGCTGCGGCAGCCGCGGGCCCTGGAGATGCGACGGGCGCCGCGGGGCCGCGCGACGCGGCGCTTGCGCCGGGCATGGCGCGTGGCGCGATTGGCGCTGGACATCCCATGCTCGGCGCGGGCCCCCGCGACCCCCCCGCCCGCGGTGCTCGCTGCCGGGCGCCAGCTGCGCGGGAGGCACGCCGGCGGCCTGCGCCCCCTCTTTGGCCCGGTGTAAATCGACCGCGCGCGTTCTCACGTACTGGAAAGATTTGGAAGACAAAATTTGCGGGTGGAAATCACGGCGCACGCGCCATGATTTCGAAGCTTTCCGCAAGCCAGGGGGCGGGGGCAAAACCTGCCCTTTGTCAGGGATTTCTGGCTCCCAATAAGACGTCTGTTTCTCTTTAATAGATCGGCGTTATGTCTTGTTTCTTCGAAGTGGCCGCGTCTTAATGGGAGCTTGTTGTTCTTTCGCTGTTTATCAAATTTAAGGCGGGTTGGTCGGCTGGCGCGTTGGGAGTCTCGGGGGGGGACAGCATCGCCATCCAAAGGGAGCGCGCGAAGTAAACGGACCGAGAGGCCTCGATGGGGACATATAAATTTGCGCCGAGTGCCCGGCCGTCGCGGGCGCCCAGGGCAAAGTGGTGGCGCGCTGGCCGCGCGTGCCCGGCGGCTGGATGGTCTGGCGGCTGGGGCGCACGTGCATGCGCGTGCGCGCGCGATCAGGCAGTGAAGGTCTCCCTGCGCTGGCCCCCCCCCGCCCTCTCGGCGCCCCGAGGGGCCCCCGGCCCCCGCCCCGTCGGCGCTGGGGGCGCGCCCGAGGCCCCCGCGACGCGCCAAACGTTTCGTTCGCGGAGAGTTTCGCGTTTCCCGCGGG